TTTAGACAGTTCACCAACAGCGCGAAAACACACACAGTTGTCAAAATATGCGGTTTTGACGAGTTACCTCGGAGTTACCTTAAATGAGTTATTAAGTCTTAAATGACCATAAAGAGTTTGGAGAAAATAGGAAATGTGTCAGATCCGCGTCATGTGCATCAGGTTTTAAAGAGACAGTGCTGCTTTTAAATTAAAACCCACTAAAGTCTGTCACTGATGTAAATCAAAGAACAAAAGAAAAAGAGAAATCACTCGAATGCTCTAGTCGCTGATTAACTTTTGTAGTTTGAATAAAGATTAATCTGCATAGTTTATGGATAGCTATACAATTTATAGTTTATGTGAAGATTGTTTTAAAATCACTTAATATTTCAAAGCCTATTAAATGTCCAAAAATAATGGCTTTCAATTATACTTTAATGTTGAATGGTTATAATTAATAGGGAAAATTGAGGGAAAATGCATTTAATAGAGACACCAGTAGCAGTATTGGTATCAATACTTCATTAATAATAGGCTACTTAGTAAAAAGATGCCATTAAAAACATATTTAAAATATACTATCTTTGTTGTTTCTACATTAATTTGGAGGTTCAATATGAAATTATGATGATATAAATATGCGATTAATCATGATTAATTACAGACGAATGTGATTAATTATTTGTAATCGATTGACAGACAGCACTAATTTTAACCTTTTATAGATTTTAGAAGTCCCAACAGAAAGGGATCGGGACGGCCCCACCCCCTTGGCCCCCTTCAAATTTTCAGTTCGATAATCTGGCCCTCAAATGAAGCTAATTGAATAGCCCTGCTCTAATCTGTTAACATAGGTGCGGGGAAAAATACGCACCACATACGGACTGCAATGCAAACATGATGGCCTGCTCCGTTTGCCAAAAACATGCAAAGGACAAGAATCTCAACATTTTTTAGGGACAAAAAAAGATAAATCAATAAATCTGTTTGTTGTTTTTTTTTCTTGTAAGTAAAGGACAAATTAAAAACATTGTAAATATGTTTAGTCATTGTAGTAGTAGTAATGACTGCCTGTTTTTGCAAAAAGAGTTTTATGGCCGGTAAAAAACATTTTTGGCCGGTAAATTTTATCACGTCACCGGCCATTGGCAGGTGTGGCAAAAAGTTAGTGTTAGGCCCTGAGCCTATGTATCTCGTATATGGCTTTTGCATTGCTCGCTGCTCAATATACAGCATTAAATTAAGATTAAATAACTTTTGGTTCTTCATTAGAAACACAAACTATCCATAATGCTAACAAGAATACATCTGAAAATATAATTAGAGGTACAAATAGCATCAAGCTACATTTAAAAACGTATGTAATTATTAATGTTTTTGCTCAACCCCCACTTTAAACCATCATCGGGTGTTTGTAATAACTGCTCTCCAGATCACATAATTCAGTGGAGAATTAATAGAAATGTTATTCTGTATTAAAGAATGTGAGAATAAATCTGTTCTCAAAAATACAGAGGATAACAAGAACTCAGCATCCACTTTCTTCTCTCTACCGGGATACTCTTCTTCGGTGTTTGTTTACAATGGTTTTCGAAACAGTGCCACACCCTTTTTGTGCAACAGCAGCTGCTCCGGGCATGTGATCTAAGCTCAAATCTGATTGGACGGCCCTTTTCATCGCAGAGCGACGGGAAAAAATCAACACACAGGACGAAAAAAAAAAATCGACACACAGAACGAAAAAAAAAAAAATCGACACAGGACGAAAAAAAAATAATAATCGACACACAGGATGAAAATAAAAATCAAATCAACAGACAGGATGGAAAAAAAAATTAAAAATCGACACATAGGACCAAAAAAAAAAAACAAAATCGACTCGCAGGACGAAAAAAAAAAAGTGCTTTTTCGCGCCGCGAATGATCGCGCCTAGTGTGAGTAGCCCCATTAGGGATCTATTGTTTTGATTCAAACGCGTCATCACGCCGAATATTCGCGCCGATTTTCGCGCTCAGTGAGAAAAGCCGTTTACTCCAAATTTCACAAAAGGCTTTTGAACATAATTTTAATATAAGTCAGTCATTGAAGTGAGCTGCTGTTTTTGTCTTTTCTGAGGAAGTTTCATTCACTTTTTGCCAAAGTAACAACAGAGAAATTTGGGTCAGATTTTTTTAATGTTCATCCAAATCTCATTTTGAAAGTGACTTTTCTTTGTTTTAAAGATGTTTTCTTTGGATTATTTGACTACTTGAAAGAGAATATAGGAAGATATAACTTAATTTGTTTCCTGCTAAATTTCACATACATAAAAATCTGGCTCTAAACCTCTCTTTTACCAGTATTTTTAATACTTAAAAACTAATATGGATTCTTTGCCTAAAAAAAAATATTTCCGGGGAAGTGGAAAGCGGAAGTCATCTTTTTTTTTTTTATATATATATATTATTGATTACCATTTGTATAACCACAGTTTCACTGCAAATACCATGGATAATTTGTGGTTACCATGGTTTAACTAGTAACCATGTTTTTTTGGTTTTCCATGTATTTGTAGTAAAACTATGGTTAATTTTCGTAAGCAGAAGTCGTAGTACAGCAAGTATATATTTTTACGTTTCCATTTGCAAAATTATAAATCCACAATAGCGTTTCTATCGCTTTCCAAAAAAAGAAAATATATTGAGACGTTGATCGTGTTAAATTTGCCGTCCCTTCCTCCACACTCACATAACTGTAATTTTGATGGTAACACAAATATAGTTAGAAATGTACATTAATTAAAAATAAATAAATAAAATGAAAAGTCTACTACATTTACGATGCTAATAACTTTGGAAATGCGTCATCAGTCTGTAAAAAAGATCCATTTTTGTTTTGTTTTGATTTTTTGTTCACTAGGTGGCGACAAAGTGGAGGAAAAGGCAGCATGTACATGCAGTGTATTTTTATTGCATAGTACCGTATGTCACAGAAAGATATTTTATATAAAAAACAATGACTTATGTAGTACAAGTTATTCATTGTTCACAGCAGTCATGATTTCCTTCAGCGGCTTTATTGGAAAGTCAGTCAGTGTTCATCCTTTTATATTTCTGTTCTGGATCAGACGCTGTGTTTTTCTGTTGCCACACAGGAAAGAAAATGTGCAATAAGCCGAGCATTTCATCATAAGCAGCCAAAAGCTGTCCTGTTGAGTCTTCATGACAGTGAAGTGTGAAGTCACACTATGCATTGACCGCAGGTGGTTTTGTGGTGGTGTTCACACTAGCGCGTCTGCACCTGAGCGTACAAACACTCCTCCTGTGTTTTACTCGGCTGCTGTTGAACCTTTCTGTCGGTGAACGTCACTTCTCCGTAATGAAGCTCCTGCTCCTTCTTCTCATTCCTGTTTGTCTGAGGGCCTGACGAGGCATTTTCCACATCTGCAGAAAGAGAAGAAGCACAATGAACAGATGAGATTATAAACAAGACGCTTTCTGCTGCATTAATCTTGATAGTAAATGAAGTATTGCATGTGTTTACAGATTTACAAAAGCTGAGAATCAGCGGTGACCTACAACCACGGTTTAAAATCTGCCTGAACTGGGGATAAACTGATCAATATTTCTTATAGAGAAAAACATATTGTGAATTATTCCATTGAATTATTTTGTCCCTGTGACAAAGAAGTTACGTATATGTCTTTTCTTGCATATTTACTTAAACTTTATTTTTATTTGTATATTTTCATATGTATTTAAACTGTATTTTATTTGTTTACTGTATTTATATATTCATATTTATTTACATGCATATTCATTTATACATGTATTTATTCTATATGCTATTTATTTTTATATACTGTATTTTAATTATTCTATATGCATATTTACTATATTCCTTTTATTTTATTTTTTTTTATTTATGCCATTTATTTCATATGCATATTTATTTATACTATACTATTTATATTAAATGCTCATTTACACACTTTATTTATTGATACTGTATTTAATTTATTGTACTTATTTTATAAGCACACTTACACTTACATATTAATTTATACTCTTTATTTAGTTATATTTTATTATTCTGTACATGTATATGCATATTTAATTTATACTATTTATAGATGCTTTTTTATCAGTTTTTCTCTCACTACCGTCTCATACTTCAGACTGTGACTCGCTGCTGTAGTCAGTAAGTTTAGGGAGGTTATAAAAGGACCATGACCTCCCAAATGTGTCAAATTCCTATACAGTTGTTATTATTCTTTCAATAAAAGTTTAGAAATCTTGACAGTCGCTGATTGGCATCAGGGCAAGATTTTCATTTTTACATCTGAATTATGATTTGTTATCATCTGTGCTATCAATCACTTAAAACCAACTAATTAATACTATTATCAAAGAGTAATATTAAATAAACATGTAAGATGTTATATTTGATATTTTCTGTGCATTAATGTAAATTCTGTCATCATGGAAAAAAACAACATACAGGTTTGGAAATGAAGATGTGGAATAAATAATGATAGTTTTGGGGCGAATTATTCCCTCAGCAGCAGAAGCAGTTTGTCTATGAACTGCACATTAAATAATATTATATTTACATATATTCATTTATCAGATGCTTTAATCCAATCTAATTTACAAATGAGGACAAACATAAGTGAATAAAGTGATAAAGGCAATATTATAATACTGTATAGGTTCATGAACTCAAGGCTAACTTGTGGGTTTGAGCTGATTCTTCTTCTTGTAAACGTAATATGCGATGATGACCAGAACAATAAGAATTACAGCAAGACTTCCCAAAATGATCAGAGCCACTGGATGATCTGTGGAAGGAAAAACACAACACAGAAGCTCAACATAAAAACAGCTTCTATTCTGATGACAGAGTTTCTGTATGAAAATATGTAGCTTTTTCTGTGCTGTCTTTTTATCATGTATTATCATTCATTGGTTAATTTGCATGAGAGTGAGATCTTTGGAGAACATGAGATTGTAATGAGTCTGATGAGAGAGTTTCTGTACCTTCAACAATCACTTGAAGATCTCTAGATGTTTCTGTGCCGTCTGAGCTATCGAGTTTTAATCTGTAATTCCCTGAATCTGCTCTGATCACACGGTTTATTATCAGAGTCCCATTAATGACGGTCACTTCAGATCTGTTATTATAAAGATCACATTCACTCATCCTCATTGTGTCATTCCTTATTCTACAAACTGGACCATCATGTGTGCTGTTTATTCTCTTTATGATCTTCAGGTTATATTTGCTAGCGTCCAACATCTGCAGACTAAGTTTGTCTTCCAGAGCTGCGTAACAGGGATTTGTTTGATTAAACCTGCAGAACCGATCCAGACCTGAAGAACAAAACACACACACACACACACACACACACACACACACACACACTCTCTCTCTCTCTCACTCACACACAGAGACACACACACACACAGATTCACACACACACACAGATTCACACACACACACAGAGACACACACACACACAGATACACACAGACACACACACACACAGATTCACACACACACACACACTGAAATCTACCAAAATCAACTCTAAAACATTTTTATCTGTAAAATAAGAATCAATTTTTAAGAATCCCAAAAATAATAATGTAAAAAAAGACCATTTCAGTGTGAATTTAAATCCGAAAAATTGACTACAGACAAGTATTTTCATATATTTTCACAAAATGAATTCTACTATCGAGAAAAAAAAAACCGGTTCACATGAGCTGATGCCACTGAAACATCTGAACTCCGCTCATCAACCTCAGTTAAGATGATCAATCCTTTAGTCTGATTTACACACTTTCACACATATTTATATTCCAATATAACATTCTGAGACAGAAAATGCTAGCTACAGCCAAATTCACGTATACTTATGCAGTATTCTGCATTCTATTCTGTAGCATAAATAGTGTTAGTAGTGTGTTTACACTGAAAAACACAAAAGGAAAAAGTGAACTTTAAACGGCCCGATGATGCAACATCCACACAGTTGAACTGAATCAACATCGAACTGAACTGATTTGAATAATGACACTATCGTCTTTTTAAACTCACGTTACAGTTGAATTTGAATTTGTTGAAGTTGCTTTGACATAATCTGTATTGTATAAAGGTGAATAGACTTGGGACACAGCTACCAGATCACTAAAAACTAAAATTGCTTTAGAAAAAAAGGTCTCTTTAATGACACGCTCATCTATATTAATTAATTACTTTGTCTACTAAATGTCCAACAGTCAGCGTACATGCATCACAGGAGAAGTCTGTAATTTTTGTAATTTTCTCCACCTAAATGCTTTTAAGAAAAAGGTTAACATTTGCTGCACCTCTACCATAAGCACTTAACCTTAAACCAAGGCACTACATTGTACATACATAACATTTCACTTCTTTCTGTTTTTCATTTCTGCTCTAGCTTGTTTCCTATTAAACCTCACAATGTATACTATGAACACGGTTGGCTCTGCATGTGACAAATTGCTAGTTGCTTTGAATAAAAGCATCTGCGAAATGAATACATGTAAATGTAATCTTATATCTCAAATGGAAAGTCTGGGCCAAGGGTAAAATACAATTTAAACAATAAAAGGTATTTTTATGAACAAGTCGACTCACATGCAGCAGTTTGCAGCAGCAGCATCAGTCCAAAGATGAGCATCATTTCTCTAAAGTCCAGTTTCAGAAGAAAGTCAGACCGAGTCTCACTGACAGACTGCAGCTCTACTGACACATCAGGAGATTACACAACTTTAATAGAGAAAGAGGAAAGAGGAAGTTTGCTCATAGGAGGGGAAGACAGGCTGTCGCTCAGCAGTTTACACTAACACACTTTCAGCGATAGAGATAACAAAAGAATAAACAAGTGACTCACAGAATTAGTTTAGTATCTAAAATATACGAATATACTTTTTTTTTGTTTTTTATGTTGAGAGACAGTTCTTAGTCCAAATCAAATTTGGACTTTGTTTTCCTTATCTGTTAAATCTTTTGGACATTTGCAGGTTTTAATTACAGAAAAGAGCAACTATTTCCATCGCTGATAAGCAGAAGCATTACAAACCACAAAACAGATCATCAGTTAAAAACATGCATGCAGCGTTTAGTGTAAAACCACAGAACCCAAACTACAAACTTCAACAGACCAAACTTATCACGTCAGGTGCAAAAATATGCATACAAATAAAATTTGCATCGCATTTTCTTCCCCAAACAATGTATTTCAGTTGCACTGGAGTCAGCCATATCGAAAATGTTCTAGATATAACACTAGTAACAAGTATATAAAAATATCTTCTTGTGAGCATCATAATTTCAGTGTCTGAAACTGAAGAGCGGTGGTTTTCAGACTGGAAGTGAGCAGCAGAACGTGTGAGAATTGTGGTGCGTTCATGCCATGAAAGAGAAGCCATTTACTCATTTAAAGGGGTCATACATGCACTTTTACAAGTTGTTTGAACTGAAATGCACTCAAAAAAATATTTAACCCCAAAAGTTAAAACTTATGTAATTCAATTAGATGTCAATTTTCCATCCAATTTAATCGCATAAATCCAACGCAAAAGTTAATATTTATTTAAGCTTCACCCTTTCATGTTCAGTTAATGTGAATTAATTAAATACATTTTATGAAAACTGATGAACTGTGATTTAAGCTTCTATAATACATCAACTTTACTCATTTCATTTCCAATAACTTATTGTTACTTGCTTTATATAATCACCTTACATTTTCTTAATTCTATTAAATAAATGGTCAAAACATGTTACATTTTCAAACATTTATTGCGTTGTAGTTTCATGAATCCTTCTAAACTGAATCTTCCAGTGGTTATGACTCATGTTTGACTTTTTAGGTTTGTGTGCCCACAAGTAACAGGGATCAACAAGGAACCATACTTTTAACATCAAACATTAATTTCACATTTTCAAGGTATTCAACACTTTTTTAAAACATATAGCAGGTTTTCACATTTCAGCATTTAGGCCATTAAAACGTGTCATACTCACTGCAGAGGGGTATGCTGCATACTAAAAGATCTCCTCAGCCATGCCTTCAAGAATGTCAGATCTTAGTTTGGGTGGTGGAATAAGTAGCATTCCACTTTTGCTGAACTCTGTGTCAGCTCTCTGAAGCTGAATTTCAGCAGAACATGAAAAACGAGGAACTACAAAAACCTGAGGCCAAGAACTGGTTCTCGGCTCGGAAGACATAACTAAGACAGTCGAGTCATCAGACAAGTTGACTTCCTGGACTGAGTCAATATCACAAGGGCTAACATCTCTTGTGTCAAGAGTGTCAGAGCTACAGGCTGAGCTGGGTAAAGGAACAAGAATGCTGGAGCAGGAAGGTGCAGTCTCTTGCATGCAGGAGTTACAGTCATCAGTTAATAGAAAAATCACTTTCAGGGTATCCCTGTCTTCAATTTGACTGGTTGACATGAGATTCATGTATTCATTTCCAAAGTCCTTATCTTTGTACTGGAGCCTGAACTTTTGATTCACCCCAAAAACAGTCATTATTTCAAGTACAAGGTCATCCACAGACTTTGGGATTCCTGTCTTAAGTGTAAGCTTTCTTGCATCGTCATCCCCACCAAAAACAATCCTCAGAATGACCGGACTCAACATTTTTCTCTTCTTTTCTAAAAAAGGGAATGAAGCAGAAAATGACATAAATCAGTAATACAATTTTTGTGCTGTAACTTATTTTAAATAAAAACACTTCATAAATACATTACCTTAAATGAGGATGTGCCTCTTCAGGGTCACCATTCGTCTTCCTCCTACCATATAGTCATACAGTGGATAAGCATCAGTTAGCTGATCTAGATCAACCAGGGCAACCTCTCTATCAGGAGAGACAGTCAACTGAAAAGCTTTAAAATGTTCTTGATACCATGCACACAGTACCTTCACAACAAATGTACACTCTTTAAATACGCAAGTCACAGTTTCATGTTTGCGCAAATGTTCATTTAGATGACTGAAGTAATCTCTTTCATTTGACTCAATGCATGCACACAGCTGACATGAAAATGTGGCTGATCTTGTTTTGAAGTTGACTGATCACAGTGGGCACGGTATATATGACTTAGGATGTTATTCCATGATTTAAAAGTGCAAGGACAATTACTGTATACACAAGGATGCCTGAACCTTGCCCCAAAATGTCCATGTTTGAGCTTAGAATGTTTCAGTAACTCATACCTACTGGAAACCTCTGTTCCACACACTTTACATTGCCACATTCCCAAGACTCACATATCTAAAAGTCAAAAATGAATGTGAGAACATTAACACTTTTACAAAGTAATTAAACAAGTAAAGTTTAGTTATATATTTATAACAAAAACAACAACAACACTTACTTTAATTGAGTGATTGCCCCAAACTGGAGACAATGTGGAATGATGTCACAATGATGGTCTCTGAAACAGTAAAGGTGACATATAATTTGAGTTTTGCAATGACAACTCTGCATTAAAAGACTGCATGATCAACTTAATGTACACAATCTGTTTTAAATGTAAATCCTATAAACTTTTACATGTACCTTTCATATACTCACATAACTAAATGTCAAAAAAGAGAGAAAAGATCAATACTTTTACAAAGAAATTAAACGAGTACAGTTTATTTATAGGCTATTACAAAAATATATATATACATACCGTAAGTCGGTGATTGACTTTAATCAGATTCAATGTGGATTGATGTCACAACAATGTCTCTGGAATATTAAAAACGACATATGATTTGATTTTTGTAATGAAAGTACAACTCAGCATGAAAAGAATGCATGTTCCACTTCATGGACACGATTTGTTTTAACAGGACATCCTACAAACTTTTACATGCAACTTTCATATAATGTCGAGCATGTTTGAACCATGCTTCAGCATATTTGCAAAGCATATTTATAGAAAAGCTAAATGTAACGTTACGTCGAGATGGCTAATCTATTACAAAAATTTTTTTAAAAAGCAATAGCCTAAATCTGCCTAAAAAGATGCACATAGTCGACCATATATATCTTAAAATGATCCAAGTTGCATATATTTGATAACAGATTTGATTTTACGCGAGATCCTAACGTTTAACGTATGTCGAGATGACACTGTTTAAAAAAAATCATGCGTGATGTGCTTAAATGCAAAAATGATGCACATACTCGAATAGTAAGATAGTACATTTTAAAATGATCAAGATAACGTTAGCAGGGAAGGCCGAAAATATCTAACGTTAGTTAATTCGCCAAAAAGTGCAGTTAGGGCAGTTAAGGTAAATCAAGATCGATCAAATAATAAAAATAGTTTATGTTTAAGTCTACATCAATTATAAATGAAGAAAATATCTTACCTTGTATAATCTCCTCATCTGTTCTTCCTTACTCTTCCTTGCTACCGTTGAGTCACCGTCGTCGCGCCCTAGTCGATTTGCCGCCTTCAGTTAAAAAAAAAATAATACAAATCTAATATGCGCATGCGCAACATCAGCGGTTTCTTTTTGAACGAATCTTTTAGGTGAACGAATCGTTCTCGTTCATTTAATCCATTGACTCATATTTCTCGTTCACTTTTTTTGAGTGTGTGTGTTGGCAGTGTGTGTACACAACCACCCTATAATGATAAAAATCCACACACTGTTTTTTTTTTAAATCTGGTTAAATGTTTTCCCCTTTCTCAAATCGAGCCGATCTCAGAGGCCTGTCTGTGTGACGTCACACAGACAGGCCCCTCCCACGATAGTTTGATTGACAGAAGTGTTTCAGCACAGACTGGACTGGTGTCTTACCTTAGCTCCGCCCCTGAGTGACTGTCATCAGGCCACCATTGTTTCACCGCCGGAGCAGATGTAGAGCAGCTCGGAAGAGAGGGGCGGAGTCAGCAGAGCTCATTAACATTTAAAGGAAAATGACAAAAACGGCTTGATCTGAAAATAGCTGTTTTTGACAGGGGAAAAAAGGTGTTTTTTACACTACCATTGAGAAATTTTAACCAAACTATGTTACAGACTTTTCATTAAGACCCTAAAGAATCATATCAGCTTGTGGAAAATGGGCATCCTATGACCCCTTTAACAACTTTATTGATTGGCATTAGTTGCATTTACATGACATCTCTCACACCACAGATATGTGACCAAGTGTTTCCTGCACTGCTCACATGGAAAAACAAACCTACGGTACAGTACAGCACGACCTGCATAGGCCAGTTTATGAACAAATGACTTGTGTGAGTGGGTTCTTCGTTAGAAAATTCTCTATTGAATCAGTCTGGCGAATCCTTCAGTGAATCGAAATCAAAATCGCAGCAAATACTTGTTTTTATAAAAGCAGAAATAATAAGAGAATGCAATTCTAAATTAAGCCTCTGCTGCTCCTGAATCAACATACAGTATGACTCACATTCCACATTAATATTCATCACTGAAAGTAACCATACACCCAGATAACAGGGAAAGTTCTCATAACATTGCTGTGGCAAGGTTCTCTCAAAGTTATGAACAAACAATCCTTCAGTAACATTAACAGAACATTGTTCAAAGTTATCTGGGCTTTAAAGAGATAATAAATAAATTAAAATAAAATAAATACTATGAAAGTAATAAGGCTACCAGCAACTGTTTGGTTACCAAAATTGAGTTTAGCAGAAGAAATAAATTCATACACTAATTGAGGGTGAGTAAATGACAGAATTGTCAT